CAAATGGTAAAAGTTTTAATTTAATTATAGCTCTATTTGCGGGCTAAGCAGAGCAGAGCACATTACACACACATGTTTCGAGCCCTGCCCCCGCATATGGAAACGCATAAGACTTGCGGATTATGGCCGTAATAAATGTAAGCAAGTGTGCAGCATGCCTGTATTTATTTAACACACACACAGACACAATGTAAAACTCACACACACACACACACACTTGCAGTTAAAACAACAAGACGTATAATATTGCACTTTTCTCTACGCAAAATTATTCGAGTATAGAACAAACCGGAACGGACCGTCGACTGCAAAGTCCAACTAACTTTTTAATGCTGATTATCCGGCCAGCCGGATCTCTCTGTCTCTCGAGAATCTAATCAAATATTTCTCTCTAACTGTAAAATTGGTGTGGGCAGATTGTGTTGAAATGAATGCCAGTTCTGGCCTTGCTGCTCGCTGCCTGCTGAGCTCAGCTTGGAGATTGGAATCTGCGGCAAGGCCCACAGCATGGCCTTAATTAAGTATTGCCTGTTTAAATCAATATGCACAGAACAACATGCATTATAATAAATTCTCATATATATTTATGGTAAATTAAATAAACCACACCCGCACACACACACACACACACACACACACACCCTTAAGCTGGCTGTAGAAGAAGTCTACTTCATGCCCGGTCCATTTGTCAACGTAGATTTCGCATCGTGGCTGGTCATTGATTTATCGCAAGTGGCTGCTATAACCATTCAATAACTTTGGCCAAGAAGCGTCAAGCTGCCAAAAAGCCGCAAATAACAACTAGGCCAGGCCGGGCCAACGAAGGGGCAAATCGGCAAAAATGTATTACAGTCATAAACTGCAGCACACACTCGAGCACCAAGTGGGATAACAACAACAACAACAACAACCTTGCATACATATATGGCTCTTGTTTTTGGGCTCCCTTGATGACTAACTGCCAGAGTGACAGACTGACTGAATGTCTGACTGACTGACTGACAGGCAGGTTTAATTACAGTGAACTATGACCAGCATCATTCGATAACAAAAATGGTCTGAGCCAAGTGCAGTTCATCTGAGTTAGTTGTTGGCCGATTGTTTGCTTGAAATATGATATAAACAAATTGCATAAATTATAAGCAGCAACTAATACAATTATTAAATATTTACATGCAACTCACAAATAACATTTGCATGCTTAACATTTGTAATTACATTAAAATATACCTGGAGTAAATATCAAACTTATAATACTGAGATATTAAATATTATTTGCTGAGCTTCTTTACGAAAGTTTTGATAAATTAGATCTACTCGCTTTTTAAGAAATAAACTTAAGAAAAACCAAAGTTGTATATAAACAAGAGAAAGGTCGGGAAAGCCCGACGAGGAGATACCCCTCAAGCTTTCGAGCTTACTTGGGATGTCAGGAAAATGAAATATTTTGGAACTGTGTAGACATCTTTACCAAATATGGAATCACTAGTTCTCATAAGCAACCAGCTATGCTGACTCTTTTTGAGAATGTTTCTTTAATCTGATTATACTAGACTACTTTATCGACCAGATTTGAATGATCCCCCGAAGCCCGAACAGTGAAACCAATTAAAATGCACATCAAATTTTCTGAAATATGTATGCACGAATATTTGAACAATCGGTCCAACTAAATTACCTAACACAAATTCCCGACAATCCTTTCAATTAGGTTCGCGCGATCAAATCGGCTTTGCAATGGGCAAAGCTCGTCGCTGTCGCAGGTTTATATTTAATTTGAAAGCTGATTACGCATCGGCTGACTGCGAGGAGAAACAAACAACGACTAGTTGATTGAATGCCATTCGAAATCGATAATCATGAGAGACGCAAATCAAAAGCCACGGCTTTCGGACAGCTGCAGACCGCGTGCCCCAATTCACACATTACGCAACAGGACATCATAAAGCAGGACATCATTAGCACCTACATTTCATGGCAAATGCCATTGAGTATTATGGCCAAAAGCCCGTTCCCTTTTCTTATATGGCTGCGGCACGGCAATTGCATTTTGTGCAGCACTCGACAGCGCTAAAGGACCGAAGCATGGCGAGATTGTGATCCCATGCATATAGGATGGCGCATTATATGGCCTCTGGCCATAATATATATGGCGCATTATGCGACGATGATAGCGATGGCGGCGAGGATGTAGCTGCTGGGCTGCTGGTCGCCACTTGACACAAAACAATAACAACAGCGACCAACACACGGACATACCATATAGAAAACTTTTCGACATAAAACAATAAAAGTTTTTCGCTTATTGCCCACTTGTCCTTGAGTGGTTTTGCATGAAGTCGCCAGGTCGACCGCGCGTTGGTTAATGGGCATGGAGGATGGCGATGATGATGAGCATGATGTTGATTGTGTTGGCACTGAAAGCCTGCATGCCGCGAACGGACGCGCAACGTTTCGTCAATAAAATATACTCGCATATATATTTATATATATATATACAAACATATATACGTATACTTTATGTGGCACAGTTTGCAGCGTCCATTAGGCGACGCTCCAGAGCGACAGGCGCTTGGCATATTTATTGATTTTCCATCAGCGTGCGCTCAAGTGTTTAACTATGTGCTAATATTTATTAAAAACCATAAAGACGCGTTGCGTAAGACTGCTGCTGCTCTATAAATGATGAGCCTGACAGAATCCGTGCTGTTAACAGAATGTAAACCTAAGCGATTGCTTTGCTGTGCATTCATTATGCGTACACGGGGCGTATGATTAATCTCATTTCATTATGTTATCGCTCGCCCACAGTTGTGCGGCTTTTGTTCGGCTGTCCAGCTATGAAAAATGAATTGCCTTTGTTTTCTTAGCATTTACCTCATTGTTGAGCAAAAACTCTTTAACCCTAATTCATGGCCCATTTCCATTAAAACAACTTCATTAACAGTTGACATAATATGCTTTAGGTATTTTTTCTTTATTTTTTGTTTTTCTGTTATATTTTTCCATTTTAATTCTTTCGCACTTTCACAAGATTTTGCATTTTAAATTCTTACACTCTTAAAAGATTTAGTTTTTTATTTTGTTTTATATTTATTGGGGGTTTTCTCGTATTTAATTGAAAGTTACTTTCAAATTCAGTTTAGCTTTAATAACATCATTAATTCAATTTTGTTTTTCTGTAGTAAATAGACTATACTGTATGTATACATATATATATATATATATATATATATATATATATATAGCGTTTGTTTTTATTTTTTTAAATTTAAATACACATTTACATATACAATATTTACGTCAGTTGTCCGCAGTTTTATTTCGTTTTCATTTCAATTAGCCTAGATCTTAATTAACTTAAGAATTTGTCACTTTTGTGTAGCTAGTTTGCCGTACTTACTTGTGTGTTGGGAAATTTGTAGTGAAATGTTTTTTGCTTATGATTGTTGAAAAGCTTGTAGACAATTCGAAATATCAAAGAAGAAGTTTTCAATATGCATACACATAAAACGGAGGGAAAAAATGTCATTAATATGAGCAAATATTAATTTTCCATTCTATTATTGAACAGCCTTTGCTCATATTACTAAATGCATAAAATTACTTTGATATGAAATTCCACAAAATTTCAACTTTAACTTAAAAAAACGCTAAATTATTTTGTATCTCATGTGAATGTTGAATACATGCATAGCAGAGTTTTTTTTTTTCTTTTTTTTCGTATCTGTTGGCTTTGTTGTACTTTTTGTTGAAAAGCTAATGAAAACTATTGTGAGAGCGAGTTGCAGTTGGGGTTGAATAGTTGTTGTTGTTAAACATGCTTAATGAAACTTTTTCACTTTTTCAATTTTTCGTTTTTTTATCTTATTTTCCCAGTTTTGTATTTATTTGTATCGTTAGCATTATAAACTTTTTCAATGTTTATTATTCTCATTATTTTTGTTTTATTGCATATACCATTATATAAACACTCAATTAATTGGTTTTTTTCTATTCCAATTTTCTTTTTTCTTTTTTAATTGCAAATGCTGTTGCACAGTTTTGTATGCTTACTTTTCTATATTCTTGTTATGACAAAGTCGATGTGATTGTAAAATAAAGTGTGTAATTAAAGAAACAGCTTTTACAAAGTGAAACCAGGCAGAATAACTTAGGTGGAAATTGATTTTACCAAAGGTAATGCAATGTACTTAAAGGTATTGTTGAGATTTCAAAAATAATTCACGAGCTGAAACTGAAACACGAATCAAAAACTGCCTTGAAAAAGATGTCGGATGCCGAGACTTGGTACCAATATTTTAATTGGCAACTAACACAACAGTTTTTTGAAAGTGAAAAAGTTAAAATTTGTCGTTTAGAGTTTACAACAAGACATATAATATTATACGACACGATTTTTCAAAATCTCCTAAAGGTCTTAAGCACTTATTAATCTTTGATTGTAAGTTTAACTGCAAAGCCTTAAATATTTTGTCAAATAAATCTAAATAAAAGGAAAGTATTCGTATATTATACAAATATATATATTGTATATTACACAAATATGTATATGTATTAAAATAAAGGGCTTTAAAATAATTCAAAGTCAAGTCAAGTTCAAAATTTGATAATTTCAGCTCAGCCTTAAAAATTATGTTTTTGAACAAATTCTAAAAACACACAGAAAAACAATTTACTCGCATTCTATGGAATTCGTAGAGAAAAACCTTAACGAAAATTCGGAAATTTAATGTAACATATATTGACAAGAAAAGTAAGAATTTTACTTCTTTACTAGCTGAAATTAAAGCCAGAAATGGCTGAAAATGAATATGGGAAAATTCTCAACAGATTGTCCAGCAAACCGCATTCAAGTTATCAAATCCGAAACTGAAAGTCGTGTATTAACAGTTTTGAGTTTATGTTTTCATAATATTTGTCTAATCATGAATTTTTATGTATATATATATATATATATATTATTCTTTATCAATTAACAACATAGAAAAAACATGAAATGTGCAACACGAATTCGAACATATTTAATCTAACCTCAGTTCTTCAGCTCCTTTTGCGCCAACCCAATTGCACCTCAATTAAGCTTAAATATATAATCAATATTTATGCCATTTATACACACATTAAAGAAACAATTTGAAAATGAAGCAACTTATGATAGGAATATTTGAATATATCTTCTGCATAGTTCCTATGATTTAATGCCTATGATGTTCGGGATAACTTTGCGACAATGACTTCAACATCTAGACAAACATTTCTCCTAAGTTTAACTTTTGCTTTTGCTGCATTCGTAGTGAATTTATTTTTACAGTGTTTCTTTTTTTCATTATATATTTTATTTAATATGTATATTTTTTTTATATATATTGTATATGCTTTAGTCAGTACTTGAATTTTGCTGCGCAGTTGAAGTTTAACATTTAGAAGATTTTTCATTTGAATTTTTTTATTTTTCGAATTAATTATGATTATTTTGTTTATCTTTTTGTTGCTTAATGTGTGTTGAGTTGCTTGCCGTTAAACATTTATTTTTACGCCTATTTGAGTTTATAAAATAAGTTTTTGCATTGGGAATAGTCACAGTATGGCATCTGGAAAAGCGCTTTCATTTTAACATTTAGCTTGTTTTCCCATTGTTTTTCATATTTGTTCTGAAAATTGTTTAAAAGTTTTGAGCAGTGTTCGTGTCGGTTAAGTCTCTACACAAAGTTCTTGCGAATGTTCTTTTGTATATTAATTTGATGTATCAAAAAGTTGGGAAGTTGTGTTTTGGGGCAAATTCCTTGAAAGATAATCCAAATACTTCTTCACTCAATTGGCGGGCTTAGAAGCGCAATTCGGCCTATTTACAAGATTCGAAACTAAAATTTAGACAACAGAACCGTTTTGACCATATGATACAAAAGTTGTACTTGAAAAGGCGACAACTTGGCTCTGTATTTAGTTTTTCTATTCTTTGCTTACTTTTCGGGATAATTATTACGTATACGTCACGGGGTTCATAGAAAAACGGAATAGCCAATAGATTATACATAGTAGTTACTATTATATAGTTACAGCTTATGTATGTATTGTTGTGTTCGTATGTGTGTGTGTGTGTTCGTGTTTGTGTATATTTGAGTTAGTTAGGCTAAGTTGTTATCATATAAGTGTATGTATATGTATGTGTGTGTGAATTTACTTTATAGCATTAGTCTAGAGTCTAAGAGAGTGTTTCTGTTTTATATATATATATATTTACTTTCGTTTTCATTTTGAATGGCTGCTCACCTTATGTCTGCCTCATATACTTGCCTAAACGTTGCCGCTGTTGTTGCAGTTGCAGCTGCACCTGCTGTTGCCGTTGCACCTGCTGTTGATGATTGTTGAAGTTGTTGCTGTTGGGATGGGCCACGCCCTCGCCATGTGACGCTCAACAGCGAGTAGAGCAGACTTAAAATACCTTTGAGGATGTGTCGCAGTCCTGATACCGACACAGACGCTTTGACACCGGCCTGGCCACCGCCTCGTCCGGCACAACTGCTGCGGCTGGTGGGGATTCGTCGAAATCGCAGGGTCGACTTCGCCGCCGCGGCTGCAGCACAGAGGGCCGCATGGAGTGCCTGACAAATGCCAAACTGCAGCAGCACACAAACAGGTACACTAAGAGATAGCGACTTGGAGACATGGGAGGATGTGCTGGTGCCGCGTGCTGCATTGCTGCTGGGAACTCCCCTGGAAACGGAATGAGAAACACCTGTTTAATTTACATCTTTATTGCTGTTCTCATACTCAATTATTGGGTGAAACAAAAGCGTTAAAAATATGTTGTGTATGTGTATGTTCGAGTACTCTCTATTATGTATTCAGCACGTGTCCTTATCGCTTTTTTTATACCCTCAACCCATTAAAAATGGGTATAAGGGAATATTGTATTTGTGCAAAATCCAAATGTATGCAACAGGCAGAAGAAAGCATCTCCGACCCCATAAAGTATATATATTCTTGATCTTGTATGAACGCAACAATAAGAGCTAGAGTCCCCAAACTTGACATATAGCTTCTTAAATAGAATATATATATGCATTTGATGTTGGAAGAAGAGGGTATCCCCTAGTCGGGAACTTGTTATTAATACAGTGGAGTAATGCTTAACGCAGGTGATTATTATGTGGACATAAGGCTACATAATCTGGCTAGAGCACTAACTAGATTATCAGCTCAGTGAAAGGTGTAAAGAAACCCGAAAACAGCCACCAAACAATAAAAATCCTTTAAAAAGAAAAGCACAGAAAATCGACCAAGTCGTAAAATATGCTGCAAAAGCAAAAACGGGCAACATACAAACAAAATCCCCATACATTCGCTGGAAAATACACATAAAGCACGAAAACACGCAACCAGAAACCAAAACCGATGACAGTTACGACTCAGTTAGGGCAACAGAGTTGCATCTGGGGTACAGTGCTGCGAAACGGACTCAAGGGGTGTATTACTCACACGCTATGTAACGTAACGGTAGATATTACTTACGTATTTAAGAAGAAGCAGGTAGAAAGATCGGAAATTTCAAGTTTTCATTATGAAGACTTTAATTGCATTACACTCACACATCTAATAGCAATTAACAGACGTCGATTTGACAATACAATAATTCTAATCGGAGTCTGAGACGTTTTTTAAAAACTAATTTAATATAATGAGAATAATACAAATAAATAATCAATTTAAGGTATTACATTCTATTCTTCTGTTAACTATTATAAATCATATTACATCTTAAAGTTATTTAAGTATTACATTCTATAATATTCAAAGATTTTTACGACTGGAAATTCAAAATCAATATAAAAAGATTAAAGAAAGATTTAAATTTAATCTTTAACTTCAGATTAAAAGAAAAAAAAGCTTATTAATACCGAAAAAAAGAGTTTCAAAATTAACTAATTGGAAAATTAAAAACGATCACCCATTTATTATCAGCACAAAAATCAATTTAGAAGCAATTTATAGTGTATTAATTTAGAATATAAATTAATTAAACAATTGCTAAGTGTTAAAGTTCTTGTATTGCGGTATTTTACTGCGTGCAACGACTGGTCACACTTGACAATAAAATACAAATACAAAGCTAAATGTATTTGTTGCATTAACAGTTGCTTCAACACGCGCTATTTACAATTTTCATTCAAATTGAAAGAAACACGACGCAAAACAAACAAACTCATAATTTTCGGAATTCATATTGTCATTGCGCGTGCAGCATGCCGTCTCGCTCGCACTTGCTGGCCATGCGGCAGCTAACAATAAACAATAAAAGCCAAGTAATGCAAAAAAGTGAAGCAAAAGAAGCGAGAGAAACGCACAAGCAAACAAGCAACTGTCATTGGGCGACAAAGCCCGACGCAAACTGTGTGAACGAAGCTGTTGGCACGGAGACACGGCGAAAACAAAAGCTGAACTACTACTACAACAACAGCAGCGAGAAGAAGAAGACAATGTTGACGGGCATATAATAATAAAAATAACAACAAAACAAAATGTAACAGCGGCAACAACAACAATGCAAAGTAGCAGAACAAGAGACAAAACACAATAATAATCAGAAACAAGTGTGCCAAAGCAGTTAACGGAAACAACGCGCATTGCATGCACAATACGGCGCTAGGCATGAGTACAACCAGCTATATGTGTGCATGTGTGCGTGTGCGTGTGTGTGTGCGCTGTGGCATTATCTAGCAGACACCGTTGCGACAACGACGACGACAACTTGACATTAGCGAAAGTCGCAAAGGAAGTGGCATGCAGCATAAAGTCAAGCACGGGTGAGGCGGGGGCGAGTGGCACGCTGCGGGTAGCGTGTAGCATAGACCAAGCGCAACATAAACATAATTTCCATGTGCCACAAGCGCGCGCGCGCCCACCATTTCTATTCATATGCGGGAAAATGTCGCAGCAGAGTAAAAGAAAAAAAAAAATCTGGCCGCAAATCAAGAGTGCAACAGTACGGTTGGGAGGGGGAGAGGGGGCAGTACCAAGTGCTGGGAGTTCCGTTAGTCTGTTAACAGTCCAACATAATGTTAACTGTATTTGCTATTCCTCTTCTGTTTCATGTTGATTTTGATGTTAATTTTAATGTTAATGTTAATGTTAATGTTAATGTTAATTTTAATGTTTATATGTAGTACATATTGAATATACAACTATTGTTAACGCCTCCCCCAATTAGCATATTGCAAGACCCTGCCCTGACTGCGCGACCAGTTGAAGCTATTTTCCAATCAATATTTTCACTGTTCGTTTTGGTTAAAAGCGTGAACTTCACTTGTTGGGTTTTTCACTCTTCTTCTTTTTTCTCTACGCTCTTTAAACACAATATATATAGTCGAGTTACTTCCAGCACAGCAGGCACGCTCTACCCTCCTTTGGCACTCGACACCTTTTGGCCTGGTTTATTTAGTGTCAATGCTTGTGTTACCTGTAGCTGCATTTCTATGGCTGCCCAAAGACGGGCTGAGCCCTGCTTTGGGATACAGTTCGTTACGAACCTTTGGCGTGTTTTTTTTTCTTCAATTTTAAAGTAATTTAACTACAACTATTCAAACATTTATAGACACTAGAAGGATTTCTACTGTTAAGGAATACAACTCAAATGTTTTGTGAATTTAGCCTAGAGTAAACTTTACTATTGAGTAGCACTTTATTTTATTGTCCAGGTATTTATCTAAGGTATTTATCATACACATTTTATAGCTTTGTTAAAGTTCATTTTGCTTAAGCAAAATCATTTTAATTAATGCTGTTAGCCCAACTGAATTCCTGCTACACTTGTTAAGAAATAAAACTATCCCAAGCTTACTTCACTAGCTTTTCAGTTCACCTTTAATTTTTTTTTTTTGACTCAAGCGCATTTCTCTCACAATTATTAACCAAAGTTTTGACTAATCTTTGCAGCATTTTAACCGACTGAGCATTACTTTAACATGCCCTGCGAGCACCTCTTGATTCATTCCCTGCCATTCGAGCATTCAGATTTTGGCCACAAAGCATTCATAAGCCCGCATTCGCCACACTGTTGTCCGTGGTATTTCCCAAACCCTTGGACTCCTTCATTAGCATGCCATGCCTCTGCACTTTTCGTAAGTCTTTGTGCATTCTTCAGCTAGCACTGCGGGAATACCCTCAACGCAGCAAGTCAGTCTCTTGGTATTTATTCTTCTGTCCATCACGGCAAAGTTTCGCCTTCGTGCATTGTGCTTTTCGTTTGCGTTAAATATTATTATCAGGGTAGTTAAACTTTAGCACAATGTTGGCTTAGTATTGTGAGACTAAAAATAATAATATGTATGAAAATGGGCACGTAAATAGCTGAGTCAAAGAATATTTTTAATTGTTCCAAAGCCTGGGTAGGATAAGAAATAGATGTCAACTTTTCACCTCTACACATTCACAAGATCTTACTTTAAGTGCTAGATTAAGAATTTGTAGACTTGTTTAAAGTCTGAAGCAGAGTAGATACAACATTTAAACGAAAGTCAAAAAGAAAATATCTTAAGCATAACAAACAAATATTGGGCTTAAATATTCAATAAATATTAATAAGTTTCTATGTTTAATGAAAATTTTTATCAAATGCGGAACACAACAATTAACACTTGCCTGTAAAGGGTATACAGTTTTCGGCTTGGCAATAAATATTACTTACATGCGCACATTTATATATTTTAATTTATGTTTTTTTTTTTGCCAATTTTTTTTTGTTTTATTCTAAGTAGAAGATTGTCGTCAGTTTTGTCTGGTGGATTTCGTGTTGGATTGTCGTTGATTTTACTTACCATTCAGCACGTGTACCGTTACGCTTTTGGGCTTTGCATTTGATGGATTACACTGATAATGCCCGGAGTCGGATGGACGAGCCGATTTAATCAGAAGGAACGATGTCGTCGTCTCACCTTTGTTGGTGACCACCGAAACGCCGCCCCGAGGCGAATCATAGTTGATTATCTGCAAAGAGAATGTAACGAGAATTGCATAAAAACAGAAATAAAGAGATAGAATGGGGGGGGGGAATGATAGACAGAGCAATCGCAATTTGTATGCGAACGACATTTACAATGCCGCATGGAGTTAGATTTTATGCGACATTCATTTTCTCAGTCATAAAGCTGTTTGTGCCCATATTACGCATACGCACTGTTGCACGCAGCTGGAAAATTAAAAGCAACGCAAAAAAAGAAACGAGTAGAATAAATTATGGCTGGCAGAAAAGAGAGAAAAGATTGCGAATAAAAGCAAAACAATAAAATTAAATCTGCCCATGGCCAAACTGGCACTAATGGCAACTTCCTACCCTGCTGCTGCCACTTTCACTTTCACTTTCGCTCGCACTCAACCCTGCTTAAAAGCATGGCTATGGTCTATAGAAAATACATAACAATAGAAGGGCTGCGCACAGCAGGAACCCTTTCGAATTCCCCATACAATAAGCCAAAACATGGCCGTGACTAAAGTCCCAAAGCATGAAGAAAAACACCTAAAATGGAAAACTAAAACGTGGTTTAACAACGCCTGGGCTGGGATGCCACTGACAACAACAAAATCAGAAGGAGCACATACAGTGGCAGAAGCAGCAGCGGGAACAGAGCCAAACCAAAATCCATTTAAAACCCTTGCCTCAACGGGTTTTTCGGGGTCCCTCGCTTGGCATAGTGCTTAAATAGCATTTTCTTGCAGTCAACAAAATAGAAACACAAAACCAAATGGGGGGGATGCCCCCCAAAAAAAAATGAAAGAAAAAAAGAAAAGAAAAGTTTAACAGTTCTAAGCTAATTTAAAAGTTACTAAATTGAAGCAGCTAAATTCAGATCCCTCATCATCTGATGATAGCCCCAATGAAATTGCCTGTCGAAATTGACAAAAATCCAAAAGAAACAAGTAAGAGGTTCTAGTCGGGAGCTCCCGACTAGGGAATGCCCTGAACCCTCCTCTTCCAACATCAAATGCATATATATATTCTATTTTAGAAGCTATATGCCTAGTTTCGGGCCTCTAGCTCTAATTACTTGGCAAAATTGCCCAAAAAACGGGATATCGATATCGATTTTTATCGATTGCTTGGAAACGAAGTAAGTTATCGATTATCGGAAACAAACTCGATCTGTGCAGGCACTAGGAGCACCTACATCTAATTGCATGTCTGTAGCTCTTATAGGTTCTGAGATCCTTGCGTTCATACATACGGACGAACGGACGGACAGACAGACGGACATGGCTAGATCGACTCGGCTATTGATGCTGATCAACTCGGCTATTGATGCTGATCAAGAAAATATAGACTTTATGGGGTCGGAGATGCTTTCTTCTACCTGTTACATACATTTGAATTTTGCATAAATACAATGTACTTTTATACCCATTTTTAATGGGTTCAGGGTATAAAACTATATTGGGAATATATTAGTATATATAAAGAAAAAACACCTTACACTTACAGCGTTGTTGTGATTCCAAAAGATATAGGCCGGCGGCTCCGGTGAGTTGAGTATGACACAGGTGAGATTTATGGTCGAGCCGCTTTCTATATACAAATCGGGTGCGCCGATTATTTCCGTTGAGGGCTCTGCAACACAAATAAATAAACCAAAAAAGTTTCAGTTTAAGTACAATGCAATCGAGTCATGGAACAATAGAAACTTTTCCGAGGCTACAAATATATTTATTCGGGCACTTTCAATTAAATGGGCCTACTTCAGGTCATTTTTTTGGGTACGTAAATTTAGCCCAAATCAAATAGCAATTAGGTAAATACAAATTTGCAGCTGGGCTCATTAGAAATACAAGTGTAATTTAAATGCGCAACAATTTCAAAAGATTTTCCATTTTCCAACCCTTTGCCTTTGCTTGCCCTCTCCCCGCCCGCTGATCCACAAGCACTTGAACTTTTCCCTCGACGTACTAGCACAGCTTAAAGTTTACCTTACATTTTTGTTAATGGTATTTATGTCTATGGCTGGTTCATCATCATTGAAATAAGGGCACAGTAAATTGTTTTCCCAAATTAAGATAGAAGCTTTCAAGCCAAAAGCAACGTGAAAGAAAGTTTATGTTCGGCACGCCAAAGACTTAATACCCTTGTAACTTCTAGCAAGTGTATAAGACGTATAGTTAAGGTGGTAAATCCCGAATTTGGTCAAGATATCTTGATCTATGCGATATAGTGGTCCGATCCGGACAATTTCGAAATATGTGCTGCCTGCAACAAAAAGAACTACCTCTGCAAGGAATCAAGGCAGACAATTGGACCTAACCTAGAGTATATATATATACTTTATAGGATCAAAAGTTATCCTATGCCATACACATTTTATGGCAAAACTATAATATTCTGCTTGTATGCCTTTGGTACATAGGAAACCGCTTTTGGCTAATGAAACGTCGAATATTATACAAACTATAATCACACTCAAATATTTCATGAAGACAAACATTTGTAGCCAACTATCATTATTATTACGTGTCCATAATGTTATGTACATGTGGCTGCTAATAACTAAGAGTCTTTTAATATTCCTTCTAATTATCAGCCTTACCATTATCGAATGTGTATCTGAGTCTGAGTCAGCCGGATTCGGTCAGATCGAGCTCCTTACATATATGCAAAATCTTTATCAACATCGAAGAGTATGAAAACCTTTTCGATCTTGACATTTATTAGCTTAATCAAAGATCTCTAAAGCACTAGAACTATTTTATTTTTTATGATATCTTGACAATAACGAATTTCAACATTCAATATCTAGTCCACAACTGAATAGCATAACGAAAACCTAAATATCTCTGCAGATACAAGCTTAACTGTTCCTAACAGCGAAAAAGTATCTTATTGGAAAAGTATCTTAGCTGAGTCATCGCAATATCTTTACTTCAGGCCCAAATTCAAATCTCAAATTGCTCGACTTAATTATCTCAATAGCTCGTCGAGAACTTAATAGCTGAAGTCACATTTTCGTCTCAAATAAATGTTTTTCCGTCAGATCAAAATATACGCCCATAAATTTGCGTACATTTAAAGTTTGATAATGAAATCTAGCACACACACACACTTACCGACAACAGTCAAGTGGATGTAGTGGCTCATGTGCGGAGTGGTTGACACTTGGCACTCGTAGATGCCAGAGTCTCGGTGTTGGGGGTATTTAATTTGGAGCATCCAGTCTTCGGTTTGGGGCTGATGTATGGCCCGAAAGCGCTGATCCGATGTGTACGTATAACGGCCGACTGTTAGCAAATGTATGTCCCGATGTCGCACCCAGGAGACTTGCAGCAGCATCTGAAAGATGAAATGAAATCAAAAGTTAAGGGCAAAACGAAAAGATTTCATTTGTCGTGGTAACAAAAATTTGCATGTTTAGTTTAATTTATTGGGCAAACAGTTTACAAAGTCTATTTCACGCGCAATCTTTGACGTTGAGGCCTTTACCCAAGTTAGGGTTCGGCAAATGCAAATTTCCTTCGAAATGTCTTACAACTGGCAACAAAAAAAAACCTTGACGCAGGGCAACACATGTGACAGGAGAGGCAGGGAGGGCAGGCTCTACTGCCCACCCTTATCAGAGTGTAACTTGGCGCTGGCTCAAGTCGTATTTGAGGCAAGCGCCACGCCCGCGCTAATGCACACCTGTTTGGCAACCACCTGCTGTTAACGTGTGTATGTGTGTGTGTGTGTGTCTGAGCTCAACATTTTTAAGTGACTGTGATTTAGGGGCGTCTGCTCGAATGTAACGCCCCGCCCCGTCACGTGTCGCATGTCATACGTCAGCTGTGTGCATTTTCATTTCCATTTTCTAATTTCAATGGCAACATGCTGCCTGACTACAGGCGCGACGGCAAAGTTAATGGACAAGAAACTCGTCGACGGATTAGCCAAGTAATGGCAATCTACAGCTGGTGCAGGTGCCAGCCAGGCCTAAAGTTTGCCCAGCTCTTGAGCAAAAAGTTGCATGTAATTAACACCAAATGCTTAAGCAGCTATAAGACACACATGCCACATTGCCCCAACCAGACCCAAGCAGCACCAACCAGGCCCAACCAGCGCTCAAGTTGCCAACAAACGCGAAAATTTACTTGAAAAGCGACGCCCTGTTTTAGCCAAGTTTATGCGCATTATGCGTGTTTACAGTATCGTAAAATTTGTGTATCGATTGCAATGCCAGCCAAAATATACACTTTTTCGATGCTGGGCAAACAACATCAACGGCAATTTCTTTTACGTTTTTATAGCTCAATTTGCAGAGCGCACGAAAGTATGCTTTAAAATTTGTTTGACGCTTGTAATTCTATACCCTGTCCGTTGCCATTGTTAAAGCAAAGCATATGCGCTGCAGCCCAACTTGACCTTAAATAAAATTTTAATGAAAAATCTTCAATATAAAGAAACCGGTTCTAAGAATACTCAATTCAAATTGACTAATTCTATGCAGGGTATCTTAAAGTCGCATAGTCCAATGGACTAAACTTTTTCTTCAAACTTTACTTTTGCTTTGAATTATTTAGAGGCACTTTTTTGTTTGCGGTGCTGGCTGGCACGCCCCTTTTAGAACTCATTACCGCTCGCATGCTGCTATCAGCATCGGCATCAGCCGTTAAATCGTCGACTCCGACTGCGACTCTAATGAAAAACGCCATTAATAATGTAGAAACATAAACATCCGTTCGCCGTTTAACACAACTCGGCACACGCATTAAACAGAAGGTGGCTAAGAAGATCTTTTTTTTTTATCTGTTGACTGGTTTAAGTTTTCCCCAGTTCTTGGTAAATCTCAGCCAGCAATGATGTATTACTTCATTGGCATGCTGCTGGGGTTTGGGGCTGGGATACCCTGACGGAAATGGAAATTGAGTTAAAAAGTTCAATTTTTGGCTTGGGCTTGGGCTTGGGCTTGTGGCATGCCACAAGGTGAAAGCTAATTAGACTGTCAGCTGACAGTGCAAGAATTTAATGCGCCCTTACGGTTGCAAGAACCTTGGAAATTGTGTATCATATCCATATAAAAAACATACTTAACTCAAGCTTATGGCCTCTAATGCTTGTTTTAAACGAAGAAATAATAAGCACCTATACTTAATTAAACATATTCGATTAAACAGCAGTTAGTCGGAGAACTGGCCCAAAGAGAAAAAGATTAAAGTAATATAATCTGAAAGTCTTTCTATCTGAAACATTGCCTTGATGTCAACTTATCTTTTTTATAGGTGGCTAAATTAAATTGAGTTTTATAGCAAAGCAAACGTATGCCAGTCTTAAATGAATACCATATTTATTAACTGTCCACATGGACTAACTGAAATCTATTATTTCGCACCCGGCGGCAATCCATAAATAATAGAGTGTGTCAGGCATAAAGAATCGTTAATTAACTCGGCGGTTGTCTGCCGATGATCGATGAAGTTAGTCAACTAATTGGCATCTAATGAAGTTGCGAACAGTTCGAAGCAAGCCTGACCCAAATCTTCGTGTGCTGAAAACTATCTAGCGCAGGGCCTAAAAACTTTTCACGCCTCCCCCACCCAACAACTGCAGACACCAACTGCCGGAACGGGCCAGCTACTCGAATTTAATAATCACGCAAATTAGTTTTCGAAACCGCAAAGGCAACGTCTATGCAGGTGGAGCCCACTTTGGAGCCCAGGAACTGCCATGCAGACATGTAACATATTATTATCGGAAAATAAGCCCGGAACGTAGGCGGCGGCGGCGGCCGCACAGGAAGCAACGGAAACCAAATGACTACGGCGCAGGTTGCAAAACTAAAACCCAAAAAAATAAAATAAAAATAACAACAAAAAAACACGAATCCCAGAGCAAGTACAACAACAAAACGAAAGCGTTTGCATATATTTATACGCTGCAAGCAGATTTCGAAAAGGGCATATTAGTTGCAGCTGATTTATGTAACAGGCAGTGGGTGGCATGTGCGACCCTATTCTGTATATAGTATATCTATTATTAATTGTATTATCAATATAGAACTTTATGGAACCTAAAATTTTTATCGTATATCGAATTTTGTTCCATATGCATTTCCACAATATCCCTAAATGGAGAGTTTGTCTGAAGGTTTTTTAAGCATTGAAATTAAAGGAATTACGGGTAGCTTCTTTTATTATATCAAGATAATGTATATTTCACAATCCTCCAAAATATTAAATAGAAACTACTAATTGAAATAAAAATTAAGCCGGCACAGCCTTGTGCATGTACATTTGACTATATATATTTATGGGGAGTAGGCATGAATGTAACTGACAGCCACTTAACGCTGAGTTACAGGGTATCAAGTAGTCGGTAAGGAGCAGCTACTGAACGCTAACTTGTTTGTTTTTTATTTTGGGTTTTGTAGAGCTACCGTGTGGAAAGCGTCCCAGGAGTCGATTTGAATAGTTGGCCAGGTTTGTTTGGCTGGCTAAAGCCTAGGCCGGATGTGTTGTGGCATTGACTGTTGGTGCGAGATTGTTGAAGAGGGGCAGAGGTGGATAGGGGAAGAGTGTGTTTGTGAAATGTTTGCGGCATTTCCTGGCACAGCGCACACAGCACGACGTAGTCGAAAGTTGGCTAAAGTAAAATCTGTTTCCTGTTTCAGTATAATTAATCATTTTGTTTGGCAGCGGAACAATTAGCCAATGCCGCCATGTGGGCGCAGTTTACGTGCTAATTAGCTAAAAAACACGAAATTTAACACACACACACACACACACACACACACACACGCTTTGTAAATCGCATTTTGATGGCACATAATGACATTACAATTGCAAGAGCTGACGGCTTGAGTGGTTTTTGTGGCTTTACTTACAGTTTTATTGCCCAGATTCTTGACGCGACAATTCAAATAGGCCGTCTTGCCCAGCAGCGCGGTCACATTCTTCGAGGCATTCCTGTCGAAGTACGGTCCACTGCTGCGCGAGTCCTCGCCCAGATCGATGCTGTTCCGATTGATGCCGGCAGCGGCGGCCAGCGATGCTATCGAGTTCCCTCTGTGCAGACTACTGCTGGCTATGCCGCTTCTTGCCGTTGTTGTTGATATGCTAGAGCCAGAGTTGGAGTTGGAGTTCGATTTCGAGTTGGAGCTGGAGCTGGAGCTGGAGCTGGAACTGGAGCTGCTGTCGGTTGTCATGGCTTGGCCAGCGACTGTCGCATGGCCATTTCTGTTGCTTCCGTTGCTGTTGGTTGTGCTGGTCATGCTTCCGCTTCCGGCAACACCATCTGCAGCTGCAGCAGCTGCGGCCGCAGCTGCGTCGCCTTCACTTGGTATGGCATTATTGCTGCTGCTCATGTCCTTTGATTTATGCGCGTCACGCTGCGCGGCGAGCACTGCAAAGGATAAAACACAAGGAAACCATGTAATCGGTGCAAACTGCAAAATACAACTCAATTGCCAATTAAAGCAGGACACAATCCTCACAGCCCTCTCTCCCCTCTCCATACCCACTCCCTCTCGCATTTGTACGTTAAAGTGCGAACAATTGTCTGTCCACATTTTATTGCTAAACATACTCGTCGCATGGCCTGTGTTTAGGAAATCATTATTGTAATTGCATCCGGTTCATATTTGAAAATGTTTGGACTTCCATTTCCGAATCAATTTCAGCATATGTGCTGCCAGGAATCATTTTAAATGTAACATTCTGCCAGAATGACTTTAATGTCAAACGCTTGACAATCAATTAAATATAAAAGTATTTTCCATTTGGCCTTAATGTTATGTAAATACAGACAATGTGAAAATAGCTTCTTTGCTGGCTTCCAAAATGATCTGAACTTACTTTTAGAATATTTATTTATTTATTTGAAAAAATACACAAAATTATTTAAGCTTGTTTCCTAACAAAGCAAAAGCTGAAATAAAATTTTATGTTTAATGCCAAAAACCCCAAAAATAAAAAAATCTTTTTATTTCACATTTTATGTGCATTCAATAAACTTTCAAGGTTGATCATGTCAAAAATAAACTATTATTTCAACGTAAAAGAAGAATAAAAATAATTGTTAATCCCTTTAAATATGGCCCGAAATCCATCCAAATAGCTTTTTACGAGCAAAGATATTAAGCACTTATATGCATTGAGGGTCTAACTTACTGAAATGGCCTTCGAATGGTTACATAAACAGGCGAAACAGTCTGTCAAATCGCAAAAATCGAATTACAAACTTAAATGGGCACCTTTCGTATGCCATATCGTTAGCATAATTGTTCAATTAGTTCAATTTTGGCCATAACAGCCTTAACTGGGTTTCAACTTTTTGGCCCGTTCAGAAAGCACATGTTAAACTTTTTGTGTTTAAGCCAGAATGCAGCACATTGTTTGCTTTCCATCGATAACACAAACACGCTAACACACACACACACACGCAAACACACACTCGCACACACACACACACACTCGCAAACTCAACGAGTTTTGGCTCGAATACCTTGCAACCATTTAGGTAATTAGCAAATTACGCACACAAACAGCCGCACCCGAACACCCACACAAACACACTCACACACACACACTCACACACACACACTCACACAGACAAATACACACACACTCACACACACGTACTCTGACTTTGTTGTGCGCATAGCGCATATATGGAGCATAAACTTTCGTTTCGCCATATTTTTTTATTTTTTTTTTTTTGTATGTTTTGCGTTTATCAAATTTTCATGTTTTTGCCACACACACACACACACACAAACTACAGCAAAGCTTCGCTAGAGCGAAAAACCCGCTCGGTAGCTGTTGGCTGTTCTTGCAGTTACGACCAATTTTTATCCAGCGCCATTTATCCCATCACTTAGCAAGGACGACGCCGATACGTCTGCTTAAGGCACATACACATGCTTGCGTGTGTGTGTGTATTTGTTTTCCTATCTCAAGTGTGCGTGCGTGTGTGTGTGTGTGTGTGTGAGGCCTGGGCACTTGATTCGCTTATTACGCCCAGCCAGAGTCTTTTTATGGCACTGGCGACCGTTTTATAGTTGGCAGCCAGCGACTTTATTAGATTAAACATGTTGTGCACGTTGGCCCAAGACAGTCGGCCACACACACACACACACACACACACACACACACACACACAACTTATCTAGCTCGTTTGTTGCGTTGTTAGTCGCCCCGCCCCCTGGTCGTGTTTTTGGCAGATAAGACGCATATCCTAGCTGCACTAGTTGTATTGACAGCGCGAACAACAACAACAAAAGAAACAACAACAACAACAGCAGTAAGGCTAGAATCTTTCAATTGGCATGCCTGACTGCGCAATACTCTAGATACTCGCAATATCTAAAACTGTAACTTAAAGAAGGATACCTTGAGGATACCTTGACTTGATCTATGCAGGAGATACATAAAAAAAAAAATAATTTTTCAGCTTAATTTGAGGTAGTTAATTATTAAAAAATACCGCAGTTCATTGTTCACAAGCTACAGTTTTTCAGATATTAAATGCAATAACATTTTAAAAATGGTAATTAGTAAAAAATAAAAGCAAAATAAGCTATTTATACTCCCAATAAATTTCGGTTCATTAGAGACAAAAAAGCGGTAAAGAAATATTATTTATAAAAACTATATCTACATTTTTTTTCAACCAGAAAAATTAGGTTCGCCAGAGAAAATAGAGAAATAAATGTGTGACTGTGTCGATTTAAATAAAGGGTTTTTTTCGCAAAAAAAAAAATCAAAGAAATATAAGAAGAGAAAATATATAACTATAAAAACTGAATGGAAAAAAAACGTTTTACACGAATAACCCAAAAAACCTTATATATTTATAAACAAATAAAAACTAGGTGTCTAGTGTAGTTTACCAATATTCTGGCTTGTAGAATATTAATATTTCGGGAATTTGCGGCGCAATGGTTGTTGCCGCAATATGCTAATTCTCTTAAAACAAACAAACGAACATTGCACAACTAATATACTCGCTTGCCCGTCAAGTTACAGAGTATAGCAATAGCAACAATACCAGCGAACGCAGCGTCTCTGCGTCAACGTCTACGTCTACGTCTACGTTGATTTTCCCGTTCGCTGGTCAATTGCCAAGGCAAGCAATGTTTGCTAATCAGTTGCAGCAATGCTCAAATCCCGACTGGCTTTGGCCGTCTGTCTCGGACGGCGCCTACGACGACCCCAGCCCCTCTACTGGCAGTACACCCGACCCGCTTCAGGATGGTGTCTGTCTGGAAAAACAACATGATAAATAAAAGAGCCGCTGGCTAGAAATTAAAATAAATTGACTGCTTGGGATGCCGCAACCGCAACGGTAATGACAACAACAACAACAACAACAGCAACAACAACAACATAAATTAGAGCTTCAATAAACTTGCTAAAAAGCGCCCTGCAGAAATCAAAAAGTCATATGCCGGCCCGTTACGACGTCAACGTCAGCGCCAGCGCCAGCGTCAGCGTCTGCGTTGGCTCTCAACACGAGGCGACCGCAGGGCATGTTCCTGTTGCTGTTCTTTTTCTTTTGCTTGTTCCCGTGCCCGTTACTGCTGTTGTTGTTGTTCTTGTTGTAATTTAGATTGTTGTTGTTGTTGTTGTTGTTACGCCCGCACTGTTATTATTAACATGGCGCTGTTGTTGTCAAAAACATTTGAAATGTCAAAACTTTAGCACACTTTCGTGTTCGCCTGCGTGTACGTGAAACGTGTACACAAGTGTGTGTGCGTGTGAGTGTGTGGGCGTTCCTGTCTTAGCCAAAATGATGTCTCGAAAACTTTTAAATTTTTAAATTCACTCAAAAATGTAAAATTTGTTGTTGTTCGGTTTTGTGCAGCCGTCAGCCAAACACAAGAAACTTATTTTAATATTTAAAGGTATTGCGCTTGTGCGGATGCGAATGCGAATACGAATGCGGAGCTTTTATTGTTGTTGTCGCTTTGTTGGTAAAATAAAATTGTGCAAAGTATGCGCTAAATGAAATGAGAAAAGTCGCGTGCTGTCTGTTATTTGAATATTTGTTCATTCAACTTATTTTGTTGTTGTTTTTTTTTTTTTTTTTTGTTTAGTTATTTATTTATTTTCTGCTTGATTGGGGTTCCCGACTCTTGGCAGATGACAAAACTGTTGGCAAAAATTTGTTGTGGCATTTGCTCGGCTTCAAAAAGTTCGCCAAGTTCCAAGTTCACCAAATTCTAGAACAATTTTTACACAAGTTTTAAATATTCAAAAACAATAAATGAAAATGTAATAACAAAAAAGGCATAACTAATTTTTAAATATAAATGTGTATACAAATTACCAAATTCTACATGGGAATACCCCTGTCAGGCGAGACATGCCGTATCAACCCTGCCGGAGCAACCCTGCTTTCGTATAAGACGCCATTTTGTAAAGCTGATAAGCAGATATTAGCCCATGGAGTTCGAAGAAAATTATAATATTATTATTGGATCTTTATCCAATTTTATTCTACTATTAAAAGATCTAAAAATCTAAGAGAATTTTCAAGCTAAAGCTGAATACAATCTATTACAATTACTAAATCAAATTAGGTTAAAGTATTGTCAATTCCTCCATTTTTCCCCAATTTCAATAAGAAAGGAATATTTCGAACTTTTTAGGCCTTACTGCTTGAGCTATTTAACCAACAGCCTGCATTTGCTATTTAAAACTGAAATATTACAGATATTACAGACAATTAATATAATATAATCATGTAAACTGATTAATTCTCCATTGGAATTTGCCAGTTCATTAAGAACTAATGATCATATGGCCCACTATCCGACCCACTCAGGTGGCCCAAGGCCCAGAGGCGGAGGCTCGTCATTAAGCGAGCACGCGGCATGTGGAAAAATGAAAGTGAAATGAAAGGCCAAACCCACACACACACACACACACACACACACATACACTATGCTGCAGTTACTCATGCAGATACTCACGGTTTGGCTCACATCCACTCAATCAGGGCATGAAAATCGCTGGGGATTTTGATGTACAGGTCGGGTGGGCAGAGCCTTGTGCCGGGCCTGGCCGAAACATTGATTTCCCCAGACTTTAGGGGCGCACAAAATTAATTACCTAACCTAAAAACTCAGCGACGACAACAGGAATTATGTAAGGCTGAAAAATGGCAAAGTTGCCAGAGCTGAGTTTCCATTTTCTTTTACACGCTGACTCATTGGGCATGACAACGCAATGAATGATACCGAAAAATGGAAATCAATAATGAAAATTGGTCAAATCAATTTGACAACAATTGCAATTTGCTTGGCGAGCGGCTCTGACGGCAAATGGGGCCAACGAAATTTGATTAAAAGGGGGCGAAACTGAAGCGTAGGCGCAGTGAATGTGAAAGCGAATGTGAATGTGAATGTGCATCGGAATGTGAATGTGCATGTGCAATTCCATTGTCACTTACCGCCATTGCCGGATATCACAACGATGACAACCACGAACAGGCTGAGCATTATCAGAGCCCGCTGGCAGCAGCTGCTTCTGCTGCTCCGGCTGCTGCACTCGACGCTGGCTACCGTTGAGCAGGTGGGCCACAGACGTGTGCAATTTGTGAATGTCTCTCGTTCCCGTTCCGGTTGCTCTTCCGCTTCCCCTTGGCCTTGCCCTTGCCCTTGCCCTTGCCCTGTTGAACGTTGTCTTTGTCGTTGTTTTAAATTCGTTTGTTGCGGCTGCCGCTGGCGCGTTTCCATTTGAAAAGTTGCCATAATATTTCACTCGTCCTTGTTGGTTAGTCCTGTTCGCTCTCTCGCTCAGTTGTTGTTGTTGCTGTTACTGTTGTGCGCACTTGATTCTAGTTGGGCTTGGCCATCTTTTTGGCAACTGTACAACTTGGGGGCGTGGCTGGTCGCCTTATTAGCGCCTGCCGCCATACCGCCGCGATGCGTGAAATTGCCGAAAGCCGGCTTACAAATTGCCCGGCTTGCTCGGGACTCTGCCTACGCCCGATTCCTGTTCCTGTTCCGGTTCAAGCTTGAGCTGCGGCTGCTCTTGTTGTTGTTGTTGTTGTTGTTGTCCTTAGTCCTGCTGGCCTGCTGGCAAACTACTTAGCATTTGTTCTGCTCGGCTGGTGCTGAGAAATCGCTGTCATTTTTCCAGCGATTTATATTCTATTTAATTCTACTTTAACACGATATCGCTGGGCATAACTTCATCTTCATTAGCGGCCGGCGCAGCGTACTGATTGCGAATTGTCCTTCGTGTCTCGTCCTTCGTCCTTCTGTGTCGTCGGCAGCTGCAACGATAGAAAGCAAAACAAAAAGCCTGTTTGTGAGTTGCGCGCGTTAAAATGTTTGGAATTTCATTAAAAATTCAAATGTCAAAGGCAAAATAAATGGAAATTTGTGACTGTGCCGGCACGTTCTCTCCTCTGTACATTCGCGTCCTGTATGTCCTGTATATACTGTCTAGATGCAGGCAGTCGGCGACAGATATTTTATATATTATCCGAGCCAAGCGCTCGACTCCTCTGTTTGTTTGCCTTATGAATATAACAACAATAACAACAACAATAACAAGAGTACAAATGCCAAATGTTTCCTTCTGAGGAAAATGTTGCCCCAAAAATGATAATCAAAACGGGATGCCTTGGCAAACATTTGATAATAAGAATCTATGTTATTTTCCTTACATAATTATCATTACAATTTGTGGAATTCGCATTGCCAGAAGCTCAGCGCAAAAGCCCAAACAAAATATTCCAGCTGCAAAATTTCATTCTTTTTAAATATTCAGCTTGAATCTCAGTTACGCCAAGGCACTTATTTTATTAAATATAATTTGTAAGCTGATATTTCTTATTCTTGACTGCGTTTTTTTTTTCCTAACTGTAAACTAAGACAAGTTAACTAATTTATCTAAGCAGTCCATTTAACCCTTCTGCTTTTGCACTTCAATTAGAGGCAAAACTTCTCTCTCAACTCAAAAGCAAATAATTAAAACTTCCATGAAAGTTACTCAGTGTACTTAAAATAATTAGAAAATATTAGCTATCCGGGCATCATTTGTTATTATTAACTATTGTAATAAGTCATTTGATGCTTTTACTCATAGTTTGTAACAATTTTGCTTTGTGTTTTAATTGGCATTTTCTGAAAAACAACTCTCATTCACAGATATGTTTCCTTCTCTTTTCTGCTCTACTCAACTTTTATATCGACTTTATTTATAAGTACGAGAAGCTTAATTGTTAGTTAGTTTAAAAGCCACAATCATGTTAATCGGAACCCTTTGAAAATAAAGAATATATATATATATATATATATATATATTCTTGATCAGAAGGACGAGCTTATTAAGTCTAGAGTCTAGAAATATTTAAACTATATTCTCGTTTATCAAACGCAGAGCAGCCTTAACCATTCCCAGAATATTAATAATTATAAAATTTGCAAGAATTGTTAAGCATTGTCAAGCAAAAAAATAAAAGAGCTAAACATATATCTACTTAAATTTATACCCTTACCGAGGGTATTGTAATTTTCTCGTGAAAGGAGACATCTCCAAGCCCATAGAGTATATATTCTTGATCAGCATCAACAGCCGAGTCAATATAGCCATGTCCTGTCTTTCCGTCTGCAAGTCTTCTATTTCTATGTCTATTCTCTATTCTATTGCACGCAGTACATATATTCCCACTATATCATATAGCTGCCATAGGAATAATAGGTCGAAAATTAGTTTGTTGTATGGAATACTTTTTGTATGTCCAGATATCTTAACCATGCTAGGCCTTAAGTTTTTTCCCTGTGCTTTAAGATAAGGCATAAGCATTTTGGAAAGGTTGGGTCTGCCAGGGTATTAAATCTTCGTCGTGCCGAAGATATTCCTTCTTTCGCGTTAATTACTAAGCAGACTTGCTAAAGGGCAAAGGTGGTCTCAGATTTCAATTCAATCTGGGCAAGCCCTTAATTATTTATAGAATTGTTCAACTTTGACTTTTGCGCTGCTTTAGTTACACAAAAATACTCTCAATTCTGCGAACGAGAAATAACTGAGTAAATCATCATACAGAAACTAAAAACATTTATTTGCAGAGTAAATAAATGCAAAAAATAAAATCATATTATATTGATTTATGAATTTAAGCATATGTATGTCTGAACGTATTCTTTCTTAAGTCTCACGCTTGTTACAGATTGCATCTTGTTAACAGTAATGCTTAACATAATGCTTAACATACATGGGACCTGCTGACAGAGTTACCGTTAACCTCTGTGAATGCATGCCATGTGCCATAATGGGACTTCCCTAGTCCAGAGACTGTCTATTACAATAGTTCTTCTCTATTTTTTCCTTAATTTGACACTGACTTACTCGAAATACCCTGCTCTGGCATACTTGAAATCCATCTACAATGTATTACATTTCACATACAAAACGATATTAGAAAAATGATAAATGTCGACTGAGAAATGTTTATTGTCAATTTGTTAAATTGTATAAAATATGATTAAATATTTAACTGGTTAGAAATGATAAGGGACCATTATCTTAAGGAAAAAAAATGTTTCTACTGTCCAAAATTTCGACACAGATTTTCTTACTTTAAGCTACAAACAACAACTTTCGACATTATCACACAAATAACCTAAGATATCAATAACTTTCCTGGATTTCTCGGAACAACTCAAAGTTTGTTATTTTCGAGGAATAAAAATGTGTTCCGTGCACAGCTAAAACTAGATTTAAGATAAATTCTAAAAACTGAATCCAATGCTGCTTGCCGCAGCGAATCTTGGAGTGCAATGCCAAAGCTTGACGTAAGCAAGAAGTCGGCCACGCCCCCGCAGGAATAACATCCTGACTGCAGCTAGCCGCAACAATAAGGCATTTGTTGTTGTTGTTTGGGGGGCAGCCAAGGTAAGCAACTGGCTCAGGACTGCCACAAGCTATATATATACATACATATATATTTTTTAGCTGTAATTAGTGTCAAGGTGCACGTTGCGTATACGCCGCATGGGTCAAGGGAATAGTGCAGCGCATGGTTTAAGCAGCTAAAGCATGTCACGTTGATGGGGCATTAAGTTGTAAGTGGCCGGGCGTGTCCGGACAGATTGCCAGCTCTGGATTCGTTCTGGATTCGCGATGCATAATTAAACCAGATCGCCTCATTATAATTTCCATTAAAAAGTGCGTTGCCACAAAACAAAAAAAAAAAGCAGTACGAGGCGCTGCGCAACACTTTCAGCCAGCGAATCCTGTTGCCTTCTGGCCAAATGACCGCATGGAAGAGAGTACATATAAAATAATATATATATATATGGGTCATTGGCAGCGTTGACAGGGCTGGCCACGCCCCGTCGCCTTCAGTTAATTAATGAAATATGCAGGCCGTGTAATTATATTTGATTAAAAACAATACGCACTGGCCCAATATAAATTTACTTTAATTATATTGCCATTGCGCGCGTTTCCTTTGTTATACATTTTCACATTTATCATATGCATATTAAATGCACCCCCTATCCCCCTCCCACACACACACACACACACACACACACTCCAAATAACAATACGTGCGTTTTATTTGTTTGCCGTGGACGCGGCATTATTTGTTCTCAATATATTCGTATTATTTATAATAATATTCAAAAGTATATTGTTGCAAAGTTCTGAGAAAAAAATAAATATATAACTGCAAAGACAAAAACCCAATTTGAATAAATGAAAAAGAGAAACTATTTCACGCCGGACAAAAATGTTTAATCCTTAAAAAAAAACTATATATATATATATACATATTCACGTTCACAGATAATCTCCGATGCAACAAATAAGCTTAAAATGGAAATGCAAATTTACAAATTCCGCAATTTATTCCATTTTCAGAAAAAGGTTTTCGTGTCAATGTCAAAACTGAAAACAGATACGTGAAATCTTTGTCTCTAGTTTCGGCTCTTTCAGGTCTTACGTAATTGTGTATTGTGCTATTTTGGGCCACATTTTTATTCCAAATAAAGTTTCAGGCTTTTTTTGTGAACTGATTTCTTCTTTGTATACAATTTAATTCGAGGCCTGCTCCGGCTTGCGTTTAAAAAATAACATGGCAAAGAAAAATATATTCAAAGAACTGCAAATTTGTATTCATAAAAAATTCGAATACAAATTTAATCTTGTCGAGTTTGGGGCCCGGGCAAATTTTTGAAAAGCTTCATTTTGAACTACAGAAAAATGTGAACATGTCACATGTATTCAAAGTACGAACTTGGTATTGATTATGGCTTTGTTCTAAGTCAGAAGTTAATAAATAACGTTAAGAGTTGTAATACATATGACAGATATTTTAAATATATAACAACTGTTTGTCCTGACTAATTGGCTGACTGATTGACTGATTGACTGACTGATCGGTGATCAACGCAACGTAAGATCCACACTTTGTTTTCAAGGACCCTTTTCGAATTTTCATCTGATACATATTCTTTATTTAGTGCACAAATAGAAAATAACCTGATCCTTCTTCTACCGAAAAAAATAAGTCCCTTGTGCCGGAATCGTGCATGATCTTTATCGAATATTCAGCAAGAGATCTTATTGGGATCTAGAATATTCATCTGTAACAGAAAATATCATGGAAATTGTGACTGAAATTAAATGGCAATACCAATTGATATATATTAATTTGGTATATAGCTATCGGATGAGGCGAGAGTTGAAATACTCGATATGTGTGCTAATCCGTTAGCTAATTTTGTGAAAATTATTATTAGTTTTGTTATCGTGAAAAGTGCATTAAATTTGTTAATCAGTTAATTTATTTGTGTGCCTGATAAGTCAGTCAGAATACGCCTGAATCAAAGACTTTCTGCAATAGTGAAAGATTGCCTTCAATTAGCCTTGAGGGTTATCAAATTTGTTGATGAATCTGCAACATAATCAACTTCAAATATACATTACTGATTCGCATAAAGAGCTTAGCTTATATTAGTTTATTGTCATTTCAGAACGTTAAAAGTTTCTTCCTTATTTTGCTTCCTAAACTAGGAAACTTGTTCACATCAGAAAACTGTATTATATTCTATAGAGATCTTTCATGAAAACCCTTTTTAAATAAAAAAAGCTCCATATTTTAGCTCCAATTCTTATAAATTTCCTAAATTGCCAAATCTGGCTCGTGATTCTAAAGAGTACTTCAAGGAACTTTTTCACTCGAACGAATATGCCGCTCACAACATAGAATCAATTAAATCAATTAATTAATTGATTGAATATGTGTGCGAGGGTGACTTAACGCAAATATATGTTTCAGCCGCATGCCTCAAACTTGAATTGAGCCCAGTTTTCTCTACCCCTCCCAGCCCACCTTAACCTTCATCCCCCCCCTCCCAGCCACGACCCATTGACCAACCGCTGTTTGTCATCGTCAAATAAACCGCAAACAAAGTTAAGTAAACCAGAATTACGAGCCACGTGTCTGCTATTAAAATAAACCCCCTTGCCGCCCTTTGGGTATACCCTGTGTTTTCTTCCTCTTTTTACCAGGTATTACTTAAGGGATTTGCCGATTATTTGTATTATCCAAACGATAGAATACGAAATTATCAGCTAATTAGCTTAAATATTAAATGGGAATTTACCTTTTTTTCTTTTCGCGAATGTTGCACCTGAGCGTGTCTAATGTTGTTGTAATTGTCGCGAGTTAAGTGAATTTTGTTTTTCAATTGTTTAACATAATGTTAGTTCGTTGGATCCTTTGCGGAAGTCTTGCAAAATGCTTTAAAATCACACTGAAAAATCAAACAAAACACAGCGTAAAATTTAAAAGGAAAAAAAGGTTAAGGTTTTACGGACATTGGAATGGGCTTTTGGTCAAAGAAAAAGCGTAGCATAAAATGCGGCGTAAAATAATTTCTTTATCCCTTTTTTTGGCACAGCTCGCTGAGCTTACACATGTGCCAGATCTGGCAACCCTTCATGCATTTAATGCGGGCCGGGCTTGTCTGCGGTTCCGGTTTAGTAGAAATGCAAATCGTTACGGTTTTAATTTATGTGTCAGCTTAGGCCAAACAGCCCGGAAAGTTAATCCAAAATTTGCTAATTTACAGCGTACTTTTTTCTTAAATAATAAGTTAATTTATTCAAACGTTGTCCAACACTTTAAATTGATTGAAAACAACACATTCAACACTTTTTTTATTATAAAATGTTGCCACATTTAAGGACATTCGAATTCACTACAAGCTCAATTTATTTCAACAGTTTCTGAGTTGGGGTAGGGCTATTTACAAAAAAAAAAATAAAAGCACTTTAATCTAAGCCTGGCAACGAAAAAAAGGGGCCTAGCTTGTTTTTGTTGCGGCCTTCATGATCAAAAACAAAATATTTTGTGCCTGGCTGTCCTTGGCTGGCCACACGCCCACGTGCGTAAAGTGTGTCGAATTTTGATGAAATCTGTGCCCACTGTGCGAACAGATGTTGTGTCTCATCTTAAAGCATTTTCAAAACTGTTAGTTTAACACTTTTTTTCGGCGGCGCAAGATTAACGGTATTCATTAGGCATTTTCTTGATGTTATCGAACACTGTACGCACAATGCTTGAAGCACTTTAGTGTTCTTTATTTATTTGTATTCGCGTTTTCTCTCTCTTTCTCTCTTTGTTTTTCTTTTCGCTTTAATTACTTGACTGCTATTTTAGCTTAATTATTTATTTACCATTGCACATTGAATAACTTTTACTTTCAGCTCGTTGTCGCACACAAACACACACACACAGCACGTGCATGTGTATGAGAACTGGCTATTTGTGTGGCTGTATATGTGTGGGAGAAATGTCTTTACACTGAGCCAAAGCTATGCGGCTGTATCTACCGTTAGAACGACCGAACGACACGACTGCACTAAATATACTGAAACAGGCACTCGAACACACCACAACAAACGAGCGAGGGCCAAGGCACGACGAGCCCGACAGCAGACGCGTCGGCAGAGCCAAAGGCGCTAAGGAGAGCGCACAGAAAGAGAGAGCGAGAGAGAGCGAGCTTTTGCCACAGTGGTGCAAAGTTTAGACAACAAGTGTGCCAAACACATATTCCATGCGCTCTTTCAACTTTCGAACTTTCCATTGTGAGCACTCTCTTAAGCCATGCCGGCGCACATTTCATATGCAAATGCTCTTAAGGCCAAAGTTATGGTCAGACGAAAAAAAAATTAGGTCCCACTTGCAAATGAATTAATTTCACTTCAATTGCAAGTGCTTGCAGAGAGCAATGTTTGCACTTCATTCCACACAAACACACGCACACACACACACTCTCACTCACACACACACACACACACACCTTTAGGCTGAAAGAGACACTTGGCACGCACACTAGCTAAGCACTTTGGGCACATTAATTTCCTTGGCTGTCTGCCCAGATCAAACCAAAGCTCACACTTCCCTCCGATGGTCCGCAGCCCGATTTCTATTCAGTTAACTGACTTTGACATTTGCACAAAAATAAAAAAAAGGTTTAAACAGCAGTTGGCTGTCTATTATTAAGGCCTATTTAATATTTTTGCGCTATTTAATAATTCGACTACTCAGCACAAATATCCGTTTGATTATAGATATGTCCGTTTGATACAAATATAGATATATCTCGATGAAAGTTGCCAAACGAACAGAATTCATGTTGAATTCGATTCATTCTCGAATGAAGAGTTCTGTTTGCTTTCTATCTAATAATATCAATAACTAATCTGTTCTATGCCTAGTGTTGATAAACGTTCAATAAAATATATCCAATATCCTCTAAATACATATATATGCAGGACTATTTCGGTTTCGGTCATTCAGACATTAATGTCATTTTATATAGTTACTTCAAATGTAGCAGATATTACATCTACTCTAAAATAGTGGAAGATATACCTTTCGATATTCGAAAATTAAGTTATTGCAGGAAAAACTTCTTGGTTTTTCAAGATATCTGGACCAAACTCGGCATTTATTAGCTTTACAATGCTCCACATATATATGCAAAATCCTATCAACATTACCATTATATCATATAGCTGCCATTGGTCGAAAAGTAGGTTCTTGCATGAAAACTTTTTAATTTATCAAGATATCATAACCAAAATCGCCAATTATAAGTATCTCTATATTCCCTATATTTACACAAAATCGTATTAACATCGGACCACTATATCATATAGCTGCCATGGGAACGATCTGTTGAAAAGTAGGTTGTTGTATGGAATACGTTTTTGTTTTTCAAGATATCTTGACCAAACTCGGCATTTATAAGCTTTGCTATGCTCCTCATATATATACAAAATCCTGTCACCATCGGACCACTATATCATAGGTTGGGTCTGCAAGGGTATTTAATCTTCGGCGTGCCCAAGATAGCCCTCTTTCTCTCCCCATTTTATAATCCTAAGAGAATTGTTAGCTTCATTCAGACGAAAGAACTTTAATTCTTGCGACGCAAGATTAAGTCGAATATATCTGTGCAGGAATATATCTATGTTTTCAGGAATATATCTGCGGGTTGTATTTATAAATAATTGAAGCGCGCATCTTGTTTATTGCCAACCAAATCTCCGCTCGATATAACCATTCACCTGGACTCTTCGCATTTGTACATCTTGCGTATTTTGAACAAATCCCTCTCGGACGGGCCACGCGTCTGTCCCATCTCGCGCTCGACGGGATTACCATCGACCAGGGCACGCATCGTGGGCTGGCTGGGATCCTTGGCAAAGGCGTTCTTCGGATAATGCATGACGCTCTCAAAGTCGTAGGGCACATCATAGGTGGTTGTCGTGGACTCCGAGGTGGCCATGAACTGTGGCCAGTATTTGCGTGGAATATTATCGTAATCGACAACGACGTGTTCGTCGCGATCCGGACGACTCTGCTCGTGATACAGGCCCAGCACATGCAGTGTCTCGTGCTGTATAATGCCCGGCGTGGCCAGACACTTCGGCGAGAGCTGCACATCATGCGAGCCGGCACCCAGAAGCGGTATGGGATTATAGCCGATCCGGGTGCCGCACAACTTGGGCGACTTCTTATAGAAGACATAGCGACTGCCCGCCGGAGCCGCTCCAGACAGCTCCTCGAAGCGCAGGCATGTCCGCTCATTGAAGGTGGTCACAGCGTTGCGCACATTGTCCGCCTCCTCCGGACTCAAGTCGCCGGCAATGCGATAATATAGCCGCCGGCTGGGCCACAGCTGGAGCGGCGAGCGCATGGCGTTGCGGGTCTTGATCTCCGCCTGCTCATCGTCAATATCGATCTCGTTGTAGTAGTTCTCGAAATACTCCTGGCCCTGTGCACCGAGAATGGCCACCAAGCCCAGCAATGGAAACCACATTCTGCCTGAATTCCAAGCAGTTGGCTTTGGTTTTTATACAGTTGCGTCCCAAACAAAATGCTTTTATAATGATTTCTTTAAAATATAATTATCAGTTTTGTGTTTGCATTGAAAATGTGTGCAAACTAAGGTTTCACATGCATATAGATAAACATAAGTATGTGTGTGTGTGTGTATATGTAGACAGATAACAACTAAGTATTAGCAACACATTCTTATGCAACTATTCCTCTCGATAAGCCTGCTCTCCAATGCAATTGCTGTTCCCATGGAGCCAAATTCGACATTATCCGTAATACAATTTGCATAATTTAACATAGATAAAATATTTATATACTACGCCTGCACACACACACACACTGTGTGTGTGTGTGAGTGTTGTGTAAGGTCGGTAAATCGTTTTTTGTATGCATGACAATATAATTCAATCATATAACGACTACACTGCTGGCCAGAAAAAGTGTCGCGCCTCTGCCAGTCAAATCTGACAAGCTTCTTTTACAGTTCCTGAGTAATTAACTGAATACAATCGGAAATTCGGAAATCATATTTGAGCAAAATCGAAGTGCATTTCGTTTTATCAAAGTCACACGATTAAAATATTATTGCAACTTATGTTGAACACGACAAACTTAATTTAATTTTTAAAATAATCAAGAAAACTATTAATTTTCGTGGTATTTTTAAATGCTCTTAAAATGATTTAAAACATATTTCGCAAAGTTTTCATTCTATGTTTCTATCAATCATGCCTTGATCGAGTTTGATCTGAGACATTAAACTAAAACCGATAAATTATTTATTGATGAACGAGCTAAAAGTAATTATACAGCAAATAAGGCTCTAAGCTTGAAACCGAATATTGCTTTTCATTCATTATACTTTAAGAAAACCGCACAGAATTTACATTTATTAAATGTACTAATATGCTATAAATTTGAATGACAATACAAAAGCGTGTAAAGCTCAATCAACAATGTTAGCCACTTTTTCTGGCCACCACTGTTCTACAGTTCTGTGTGTATGTATGCTGCTCGTGGCAGCTGCATATTCGACACGTCCTAATGCATAACATTAGACTGACAATTGCTTCTGTTCCATAAACACAACCCAAAGACCTCCAAGCACCTGGCATATGCCCTATCGTCTCGCATGCGTTTCGATATTTTCACGTTACATTTTAACATATTACAGTGCATAATGTATGTATGCGTATGCATATGCTTATTCTACGGTTCTAGAAATTAGCCGAACGCTTAAGCTGTGGATCGTACTAACTATCGTTGAGTGTATCGAGAATCGAGTCAAGCAATTGATATAAAATATATTGTTATAGTATTTGTATCAAACTCTGCTCCGGCTCAGTCGGCGGGAGCAGATTTGGGTCGGGGAGGGGCTGGGAGGGAGTACACACTAAATACGCGTAACAATACGCCGCATTGGCTGGGTCGCGGCAGCTATGAGGACTTGGCTGCAGCCCAAAGAAGGCGTGCATATGTATATGTTTTAGCTGCCCGACTGCGCCACGTGGCGTATACATAATATTATTATTATTATTATCATAATTCATACATACAAAAGAAAAAAAAAAAATAGATTAGCAAGAACACAATTAAAAAACATTTTGCAAGCAAAATAATAAACAGCGAATTTCAGTTGTAGTTGGATGTCGTCGTTGTTGTCGTTGTTGTTTTTTCTTTTGTTTTTCTTTGTTTTTTTTTTTTTTTTTGTTTTTCGTTTTTTGTTGTTGTTGTTTTAACTGACAAAACCGTCATCGTCATCATCATCATCTTTGTCATCCTTGTCGTCATTGTATTCAATCCTGATCCTGGCGCCAGGATTGGGCACTTCGCTTGCAAACATCACAAATCAGTTCCTAGTCATTAGTAACGCTCTCCGATCAGCTCTCTATATTTATAATAGTAATAGTAGTAGATATAGTAGTTGTAGGTATATTATGTCTATCCACGTGGCATGGCTTCGATGGCGGGTGGGCGGGCGGTCTCTCTGTATATATGAGTGTGTGTGTGTGTGTGTGTGTCCGAGTGTGGATGTGCCCACGAGCATCGCCTAGTGCAGCTCAATGAACTGGTAGAGCGCCGGCGGCACAGTCTTCTGATATTTGATGCCATGCTGTTTGATGGTGCGTGCCGCCAGACACGCAAGCGTCGTGTACTTCATCGTGTCGATGATCTTGTGCAGAGGTGTCGGCGCCAGCAGCGACTCGAAGGTCTCGCCCGCATCGTTCTTGGTGTCCTGCAAACAGTCGACGGATTAGTTATCGAAATAGCAGAGCTACATTTTTGCCACTCACCAGATGTGCGCCACCCTCGAGCAGCGTGTGCGCCAATGGCTCGACATAGGGCTGCAGTGTGGCGGCCAGATGAAGCGGCGTATTGCCCGCATCGTCCACGGCATTCGGATCGGCGCCCACTTCCAGCAGCGCCTTGGCCAGCGATGCCGATGGGAACTGGCACGAGGGATAGCGACCGACCAGGGTGCCCTCGCGATAGCAGGCATAGTGCAGGGCTGTGCGGCCGCAGCGCACATGCACCTTGAGACGATTGAGGCGATACAGGGCGTTCATGATCTGATGCCGCATGTCCGGACAGAAGCTGTCCGCCTCGAGCAGCGAGCTGAGCAGGCAGCCAATGTGCAGGGCACTGACCAGAGTGCGGCTTAGTGCATTGGGATCATGATTGCAGTCGTGCTGATGCGCCGACAGCAACGTGGTCGACGATGAGCCGGACGTTGAGCCGGACGTTGAGCCGGATGTTGAGCCTGTGGTTGAGTTTGATGATGAGCTGGAGGAAGATGATGTCGATGAGGACTGGTTCAGTTGTTTGCTGGCGGCGGGCAGCAGATGCTGATGTTGATTCTGCTCCAGCGTAAATGCCTGACCGCGCTCCACTTCCAGCACGGCCTTGTGAAAGATCGTGAGCATGCCGTCCGCCTCAATGGGCGGCACGATGCGTCCGCGCGGCAGCAGACGCCCCGCCTCGACCAGCATAAAGCTGAAGAGCTCAGCGAACGAGAGCAACGAGGATTGCGTCATGGGGCTAAGCGGCTGCAAGATTTTCTGTTGCATAGTCAGGGCATAGGACCAGAGCTCGATGCAGCGATCGAAGCGACCAGCGTCTGCATAATGGGCGCCCCTGCAAAGGATAATTATATTTAAAAAAACGACTTCTTGCGGTTTCTTCTTTGCCTGCGCCTACCTGAAACGAATGTAGTAGCTGGTGTCCGGATGCGTCGGTCCTAGAATGCGCTGTCGTATGACTAGCGCCTGCATGCGCATCTCATCCGGATCGAGTACCAGCTCCTCGAGTTCTTCGATGGTTGTGACTTCGGTGACCAGCTCGTAGGCTGGCACCGGTTCCTGCACCTTTTTGTGCAATTGCGGTTCCTGTGCACGCTCCTCGAGAGCGCGTCGCCACAGCGTCAGCGCAACGGCCATGTCACGCTTCTTGTCCACATACGTTGCGCCGAGCAGCTCCAGTGCATCGATGCGCGCCACCCGGCTAACACACGGCAACGTTATCAGGTGCTCCACAATGGGCATGTGTCCGGTGACGCTGGCAGCCAACAACGGCGTCATGCCATAATAGTCCACGTCCATGGTGGCGCCGTGTTTCAGCAGCAGCTGCAGAATTTGCAGTGAGCCCGACTCCGCGCAATCGTGCAGCGCCGTGTTGCCCTTAATGCTGCAGCGATTCACGTCCGCATTCAGCGATAACAGATACTGGGCAATGCGATAGTGGCCCTTATAGCAGGCTATCATTAGGCAGGTGTGGCCATGCCGATTGGCCACCTCGAAGTCTGCGAGAGACAAGCATACAACGATTACAAGCGCCATTTATGGCAAGAAATGATGGCAACAAACCTGCTCCGTGATGCACCAAATATTTGACGATCTCGTAGTGGCCATCGAAGCAGGCGGCACGCAACGGCGTCGAGTTCGTGCGCGTTGTGCTGTTCACGTTCGCAAAGCGGCGCACCAGCATCTTGACAATGCCCAAATGGCCGGCGGCGGCGGCACACCACAGCGGCGGCGCATCCTCGATGGGCTCGCCATCGAAGCTAACGGAGCCAACCTGTTCCACATTGGCGCGACACTTTGTCAATAAATATTCTACAATGTCGTAGTGTCCGTTCCGACAGGAGATGACCAAAGGTGTGGCTCCGTTCACTTTAGCCGATATCAATGCCGCAATTTCTGATGTCGTTTTGTTGTACAGCACGTTCTGAAATTGACGAAAATACAATTATAATAAAATAGAAATGATTGCAATAGTCTTGAGCATTTTATTATTATATAATATACTTAAAATATTTATCAAATCAAAACAAAAATGAGATAAAAACAGTTTAAGCTGCGTTAAACATAAACAAACATTTGGCAAAAGAAAGTCAATATTGAATATGTTTACACAACATGCTGCAGCAACATTTAAGGCAGCATGTTGCTGCAACATGTGGCGCAACACAATTTGTAACTAAAGCCCGTTGACTTTGAATTTACATGGGAAATCAAATATTGCGCTTATCAATAGATTTCTTATCAAGCTCACATGAGAATCACATATATACATATATATATGTATAGGTATTTCCGAGAATGTTATTATTCATATACGCAACCAATAACATTTGCAATTAGAAGCGTGTATTCGATAAAGAATTGATATGCGCATAAATAAATTATTTATCTGCTTAACAATAAAACCAAACTGGCAAAAAGTGCGACAGAAAAACGCAAAGTGCTAATTACAATTTGTAAATTCGTGAGCTATATATAATTTCTATATATGAGACACTGAAAGTTTGAAGGCATGAGAGTCAGAATAATCGGTTGGCCCTAATAAATCAGTTTCACTCTTTACAATGCTGAATCTTTGTATACCCTGCGCCCTGAGCTGAGAAAGTGTTTATAAAGGGTATAACGTTTTTGTGATAGGCAGATAGAAGCATCTCAGAGCCCATAATGTATATTTATTCTTGAACAGAATCAAAAGCCGAGTCAATCTCAGAACCTACAAGAGCTAGAGACATGAAACTTAGGTCCTCCCAGTGCAAGCCTGCTTCCGATAACCGATAACTTGCAACACTTCCAAGAAATCGATAAATAAAGATAAAAAAATTCCATTTATGAACAAGTTTCACAGGCTTAAATGGGCTAGAGTCAACAAATTTGGCATGTAGCCTCTGGAAGAGTATATACATATCAGGATTCTTTCATCTTTTGCAGAGTATCCGCCAGTCGGACATACCCAACTAGAGCACTGTTACATGTCGCATGTCAAAGTCAATATGCCATATCGGATTACTATATCTTGTAGCTGTTTTAATCACAATCGATCGTCTATACAAATTACTTGCGCGTAGCGCACAAATTATCATTCGTATACCCTTCTAGAGGGTATTACTATTTTGTGATGAAGTTTGTAACGCTTCGAAGAAGACACCTCCGGCCCCATTAAGTATATATATTGCTGATCAGCATCAACAGGCGAGTCGTTAAATGTTACTATGCGATCTAGTCTCTTCTGTCCCTCTTCTCTTCCAACATTACAAATCTCCCAAAAATCTATTGATAACACGCGAATAATCCGAAAATCAAAAAACTTTTCAATCCATAAATTGATTTTAATCAAAATATACTTTCCAGGTGTTTCTTTTTTAAACAAACCATTTGCACAAAATTCTCAAACTTCAAAATAAATTAAAAGGGTATTCGGGCTGCGGTTATACAATGATATCAGTTTATTCTGGTTGATTTGCATTTTATTTTATTTGCGCATGCCAATTTGAAATTGAATTTCATTGATGTCAAACGTGTTTTGTTTTCACTGTATGTTAATTACGTTATTAGCTGCGCCCGAAGCACCTGTGGGCCGGTCTGCGTGTGGACAGACGCACGTGTCGCGCTGCTTTTCGAATGAGCGCAGATGAAACATTGTCCAGTCGGCAGTCTATATAGAAGTGGATAGTGCCATATGTAATATGCGTGTCGTCTTCAACTCCAGCCTGAGCGTCTGGAATATGGACTCACACTTGCCACCTAGGCTGTGATTGCACCTGGTTTAATGCAAGCGTGTTAGACTCTTAAGAACATTGTCAAGGAAATTTTGTTGGCAATATGTAAACATATTGGAATATCAAAAAGGGGTTATTGAAGCAAAAACTTGACAGACAGGTTTCTCAACCAATCTTAAATAACTCAAACTTATAGAACGCTTCCAACTTTCAATTGCTGCTGAAGTTCCCCTAAACATTTTCATTTCTTATTGTCAAGAGTTAAATTGTTTTGAAAATAAAGCACAAGAACTTTAACATATTCCAAGATTGTTTTTTCATTTTCAAATATTTCTCTGTTAACCATTAAGTAGACCAAACATTTTGTGACAATTTTAAAAGTCCAAAGTTCAAGAGCGATAAATTTAATATAATTATATTATTTAATATTCTTATCAACAGCTTATAAAATAAATTTGTGCGATAAAAAAACAGTAGTATATATTGAGCCTTATGCCTGATTAAATTGCAAAAAAATCTAGGTAAAAGATAGCCAGAATATAAGACTAGTTGGGGCGTTTACCAACACTGGTATTTTAAACACACCGTTTAGTTGTGGACTATGTTTAAATAGAACATTTTTCTATATAAAATCTTGTTATTTTTTTAGTTATACCCAAAGAACATCTCTCTAAAGTCTGGCCATAAATTGTTTTAATCATTCAACTGCAACTGTGTTTACCAATACTGGTTTGTACTCAATTGCATTCATGCGAATTCAAAGTGTTGCAAAGCTTTTTAAGCTTGTGAGAGAATTGCCTTTAGTTCGAATAGCATATCCTGTTTATATATTTAGTCGAATCGCAAGAGAATTATTTGCCTGTCTAGAGTATATTTTATTTATAAACCTCCTAACATTCTATATAGATGTTGTAATGTGCCATGAGTTGGCTCTTAAAAATTAATATTTTTAATGTTTAGGCTTAAGCCTATTGCAAATAATACAAATATTTATAAAATATTAGCTCATGCTTAAGTTTAAAGCAGAACAATGATTTGTGATTTATCGATTTGACAAATACACATATTTTGCGCCGGGGACAGGTGTCGATTAGCAGTTGACGTTGAATTCTACGCTAATCAAATATTGTTTTTCTTCTTCTCTTTCTTTTGGTATATCATTTTTTTGATTTGTTAACATTATCAATATCAATAAAATAATACACACACACTAGACACATTGACAAAAGGGTTCCAGTTTGATAAAACTTTTTCTGTACAGTTCAATGTGCATTTTGGTTTTTATTGCCTAGACGAACTTTTTTAGAAATTGAGCAGCAAATCGGGATATTTTTCAAGTAATCTATAATCATGTTTCTCTTCTTTCTTTAGAAACGTTTGCTAATTTCCTGCATTGAAAAGGCTCAGACTATACTAAAGCCCTTGGGCGATAGGAAACAAAATGATTAGAGAAAACCTTGGGACAAGAGAACTTTTCGACTTATCAGTCTCAATTAGAGCAATCGTCCGGACCAAAACCCAAAACAACGACATCGCCGTCCGTTTCTTAAAACCAGAAATAAATACAAAAAACCGAAAAACAAAAATAAACGACTAGGCCGAAGAGTAAATACCCTTGCAGGCATTGGGTTTTTATAAAAGGAAAGAGATCTTCATTTCCGATCGATGATATATTAATCATAAGCATATAAGCATATAATTCTCTATGATAAAGCAGCTACGATTTGTTGTTAAGTTTCTGTTAAACTTTTGGTTTTTATCTCTATTTGATAGAGATAAACTCTGAAATATTTATTATAAAAAAAAAAATGCATGTTAGTTTTACGTCTGAGATATCAACAGACAATCGTTACACATTTCCAAGCGTTACACATTTCGTGACAAAACAAAAGTATACTCTGCAAGAGTATAGAAACGCAGAGAAATAATAAATATAAAAAACAAAAACAACACACACACACAAACACACACAAAAAAAGCCGCTGGGGGAGCACTCAATCAGAAGACCTTGTGAATGCCGTGCGGCATTTTATTTATTTATTTATTTATGCTTTTCCTTTTTGTTCGTTTTCGTTTTGTTGTCATTGGCTTGGCATTATACGCGCGCTCTCTCTCCCCCCTCTCTCTGCCGCTCACTCTCGCCTCTGGCTCCAACTGAGAGCAACTTATTTTTTGTGCTCTTCTAACACGCGTTTAAGAATGTTAACGCTTCCTGATCTCTCTGGCGACGCAGACGGAGCAACAGTTCTTTCTTTCTTCGTGCTTATTCTGCGTCACAAAATGGCCACAGCGACCACCCCTCCCCCACAACCGGGCGTGTCAACCCCTTTGTCTACGCATTTAACAGCTCGTGCGCGTGACAAGCACATTTTGGCAACATTTAGCAGCGCATTTCTCAAAGATAGAAATTGTTGAAAAATTTTTTGAAAATAATACAATAAAAACAACAATAAGCTAAATATAAGCTTAAATACATGAATATTAAAATTTACGCCTTAATATTTCAATCAGATTGGGAGCACAGCCTTGCTGTGGTGCATCATTAAATGTTTATGGCATGGCCATGGCTAAAGAGAATCCCAATCCCAAATGTCCAACGAGCAACATCGTGGGCTACTGAACTTTTCGCTTTCATCAGCAGCAAACGAACAAACAAACAAACGGCAGCTGTTTGCTTTTCCGCATTTATAACATACGTATGTGTGTGTGTGTGTGTGTGTGTGTGTGTGTATGCTTGCATGTACGCATGAGAAGCAGGTTCCCGGCTGCATATTCAATTGAGATTAAGTTCGCTTCACGCCAACCGATATCTGATGAGTCATGCAACAACAGTTAACTACAAACAAACGGAATGACGCCAAGCACGGCGATTGCCCCAAAGTCTCGCTTAACCTTGCCCGGAGTCCGGACAGATCGCAACAGTTCACGGGTGCCGCCCCAGACATACGCATGCACATACATATGTCTGATGTATGTCTGTAGGCAAGTTAGACAATGGGCGAGCTGGGCGGGCTGTGCGACACACAAACGTAGTGGAACGTAAAAACGTAAGGCAAAGGCCGTCACAATTGTACCGTTAGCTATAGAGCACAGGTAGCACAGGTGGCATGCGTTATGCGGTAATTGATATGAGCCCACGCAACGAGCCACATTTGGCCCAGCAACCGGTTGTAACATAATTCAATGAAAAGTATAGATAATTGTGGAA